TGTCGGTGAGTTGTTCGGATTTGCCTCGTCTGACGGCGCTGCGTGGGAAATACTGTTTCTGAAATCCTAATTCCTTAGCTTCGAAGAAACGACAAAAATTGAAGGGCGATGATGATTGTGGTTATCTGAAATCTTCAGCAACCAAATTCAGTGTTGAGAGTTGAGAGAGCAGTTTCGTGTGAAATTTTACACTGACACGTGTTCTTTTAAATTTTTAATTTATTTTTTAGATAACAAGTTGCACCTGGAAATAAAATACAAAAAAAAATAATAATAATACATAATTTTTTTTGTAGGCAACAAGTTTAGAGAGTAAAATTGTAATTTAATTTTGAAAAGTAGTGAGTAGTGTTGAAATTGTATTTTTTTCAATACACGACTCTACTTATAATAAAACAAAGTTGATTCCTAATTTTTTTTTTAATTCAAATTTTATTTTTAAACTCAAACGAATTGTATGGATGTGGAAAAACTTCAACCTTATAAATGTATGATTTTATTATCCTCAACTTAAATGAGTAGCTTAATTTTTTTCCCTTATGAGTTCAACCATACGTCGAGATGGGAATTTAATTTTCTTAACCTTTGGTCGAAATTGCAGTATAATGTCTAAACTAATTAAGCTTAAGTTATGCTCTCACTATGGTTTAGTTCACTTCTTTACTTTTTTATTTCATTCATGATGTGTGTCACACTTCTCGTTGGACAATATAATTTATGTGATAATTGTTTCTCCTAGTCAATTTGAATGGTTTTGAGCTCAACTTTCGACATGTTTCAACCTAACCTTCTATGACTTGATCTTGAAGATTAGTTGATTGCATTTATTGCTTCTTGATTTGTCAATAGTTTTCTAATATAATTTTAAAGATACACTAGTCACACCATTTACTAAAATTTAGTGTTTAATGTGATAAAATTAAAATTGATTGAGCAAGCAAAATATATTTTTATTTTTTTTTCCTTAAATTTATTTAGGTTAAATTGCAAATTTAATCGTTTTAATTGGAGCATTATATCTATTTAGTTCCATTGAAAATTTAGATAGTTGACATAATTCTAATTCTTTCATGGGCTAAATTGTGATGAAACTAAAAAAGTAGAAAGCTTTTTTATTTACTACCTCAAAACCAACCAAATCAAAGCATAAAAAAATGAAGTCTTACAACATCATAAATCATTGCTGTTGAACTGCACACATCAAAATTTCATAATCAGCAACTAGAATAATGCACAACTCACATCACAGCAAAGCCTGCACACTCTGTTTCTTAAACAAGGTTAAGTCAATGATACAACCAACAAGAGTAATGTTATGACTGAACCTGGTTGTTCTTGCTCATGACTTTAGCAGATTTTCCAATCATACGATCATATCGATGCCTGTTCTTCGAGTTTCGAATTGAGAAATTCAATCTTTTAACGATGTTCCACGAGATAGGGGCTCGACCGCTGTCTTGAAGAGAAGGATGTAAACTTTGTCTATTGAAAAATATAAGAAGCCACCCAGAGAATGCGTTACATAGGAACCGAAGCTAGTTCCCACAATGCAATGCCAAGCAGGACCATAGGAGGAATCAAATTCCTGAAAATTCAGTACAACCTCATTAGCATTAAGCTTTATCCTGATTCTTTTTTATGGGAGTTAAACATATGTATATCTACTAATCTGACGCAGAAATGCTTGATCATATAGCATTTAACGTTAACAAAAGTGAGGTAAACTAAGAAGCTACTGGAAATTGTGTATAAACTCATAAAGCTGAAATTTTGAAAATTTTGTTATCCATAAGTGTTTGGAACTTGCACACATCCTTACGGAACAACCGCCTAACCTTACTACTTTGGTTGACCAAAGAAACTCATAGTATATTAAATCATAAGTAGGTGAACACTATGGTTTGAATCTATTTCCTCTAGTCCTTTACTTTATTCACTGAATTTGTCAACATGTTTATTTTGTTCAGCTCGAATAATTTGAAAAGCGTACTTAAAGAAACAAGCACTTTTAAGATATTGAACGAACACTTTCAAGTATTCTCTAATCAAGAATGGAGGCTTAGCTCAAAGGAAAAGGGTCCCAACTTGAACAAACAGTGGACTTTGTCCCAATCACAAGAACATGAAGCTTGATGGTTTCATACTTGTAAAGAATTATTTTGTTGTCATGAATGCTCTGCCCAAGCCATTTTAATGATTATGTTTTCATGTGGGGTTGTTTTGCAAAAAAAATGGTATGAAAGCTTTTGATATTTCACAGATTTAAAATATACTCTTTGACCATCATTACTTTTCAACCCAAAAAAATGTCTAAAAAAATGGTCAAAGAAAGCAAATCCCGCCCCCCACAAATCCTCCATTTCATAGGGTCAATGTTGAAAATTTTGAAATTGTTAAGAAATTGTGCTCAAAACAGTCTTTGCAGTTGTTATTCCTTATGAAATTATAAATTTACATGCAGTAATTTCAATGTGCACAAGACTATTATTGAAAACAATTACGAAACAAAATACAGAAAAATGTTCACAAGACAATTTTTCAAAAACAGTCTTGAAGTTTTTTAGCTGAAGAAATAGGACAGAAAAGGGAGGCCAGAAAGAATTGGAACCGATATAGATAAAGCTGATATTTCGGAGGACTAAAACACGTGTCGTATACACATAACTACATAACAAGCAAAAAATTGGCAAATTCAGGGGGAAAATTAGTCAGATAAAAGAAGAATAAAATAGCCTCCTCTTAAATATATTGTTCAAATATAATATCTAGCCTTTGACAATGACCAGAATCTCCTTGTTCAGACAAGTTTTCTGGAGAACCAGAGAACAGTCAGACGACATAAGGTAGCTGGCAAGTGTCAGTAGAGGATGCCCATCAGCTACCACAAGTTAAATAGCTTGGATGGAATTGAATTAATGGTGGGCAGCAAACTCCTACTGGAATTGCCCACGTCCACATCTTCCATGGCATCCCATCCTCTCTTCCTCTCTCTCGGTCTATACAGAAGGACAAGCCTAGAGAGACTCTATAGCATTAAAGAACATTTAATTTGCTACCCACAATTAGAATTGAGAAGCTAATCCCAAAGTTTCGAAGTGCTCAAATCAGGCAACACATACAGAGGATACAGAGGAGAGCCAGTGAATTAAATTCAGAGACTCCTTCAACTGCAGAGTAACCTAAAACAGAAACAAGTGCAGTGAATGAACAAATAACCCCATTAACTTTCTAACCAAATTTGGGGAGATCCCAGAAATCTCAGACTCAAAATGCCATGTTTGTACCAAAGAGGCATTTTATCAAACACATGCCGGACACTCCAGTCAAACCAGTCCCCGAGAACTTTCTCTAGCCCAAAATCCGAAAAGAAAACTAGACAACGAAGCTGCACTTATCAAACCAGAGAAGAAAATCGCAACCATGAAAACGCATTTCAGAACCAGAAACTTTTTATTTTACCTTTTTAAGGGCGAGAGCGAAGCGTTTGCTATCGAGTTTGCCGGGCATCGAGTCAAGCAATTCACGAGCGCAGCTGAAAGCGCGATTCTGCAGAGGAAACGGCATATCGGAGGCTCTAACACGAATGTTGAGACGATCGCGCTCCTCTTGCTGCTCCACCGCCTTCTTCTTTTGAATGAGGCCGTTAAGAAACTTGCTCCGCCGCTCAAGCTCCATCTCCGCTCCCTCCATGACCCACCCAAACTATAATCTCATTAAATAGGGGGAAAAGAATCTTTCGCAAGAATCTCGCCTTCTTCTTCTTCTTCTTCTTCTTCGGAAACGCAGAATCAGAAGAATGAAAACGCCAAGCCCGTAACTTGTTTGACGAAATGTCTGGGAGAAGAAGAAAGCAGACAAGGGGGAAGGGGAAGAAAAAGAGAAACACTGGCGCTAGAGAGGAAGACAAGGGGCTATGGAGGGGCGTTGGAATTGCGAGACAAAATGAAAAATTTGAACTTTATTTCGTGGGATTCTGTCTTTGAACCACAGCATCGGTCAAAGACAAAGTCCAACCAAATTCGCAGTTTCTGATTGGTCATTTGTGCTTTGATACCGACCAAAACCCAACTTTCTTTCTTTATTCATTAATTTATTTTTTTTTTTTTTGAAGTTTAAATTATCAATGAACTCTCAAAGGGAAATTGAAAAACCTAAACTCTTGAACTATATGACAATCTCATCCATCAACTTCTTAATTAAGCTATTAAATATTGCAAAATGCACAAAGAGGGAATATTACAATCAAATTCTGAACTTGAATACTATACAGAAATTGTATTGGATAGCTAAACTTTTATACCTATTTACAAAAATATCAACCACCTTTGTATTTTGTAAATATGGTAAAATATTTGAATTTTTATTTTCGAAATTTTTATTATTCCAATTTTACCCTTATGATATCTGATATACACCTAATGTATATTTGATATACGCCAGATGGATGTATATCTGATATACGTCCGATAGATGTATATCTGATATACGTCTGATGTATTTCTGGTATACTTCCGAACTACGTTTGATGTACATCCGATGAATCTCTGATATACACCAGATGTACATATTATACATCTAATATACATCTGATGTATCTCTAATTTATGATATACTCAATATATTTGTAATAATATACCTATGTATATCTTATATGATATATATCTGATGTATCTCTGATGTACATTTGATGTATATCAGTGACAATATTAAATATATTTGTAACTAATATCTGATATACATCAGTAGATATCAGTACAGATGCATCAATGTTAGATATCAATAGATATCATGGTTATATCAATGGTAAATTAGAGACATATTAAGTATATATCATAGATGCATCAAAGTTATATTAGTGGTAAATCATATAATCATATGAGAAGTTATATTAGTGGTAAGTTAAAGACATATCAAGTATATATCACAGATATATAAGTGTTATATCAACATGGTAAATCAATGGTAAATTATATAACCATATAAGAATCTATATCAGTAGAAATCATAGTTATATCATATGTACATCAGTGGCAAACCATATTAAAATTTATATTGGTAGATATCATAAATATATCATAAGTAAATCAATTTTATATCAGTATTATATCAGTGGTATATCAAAGGCATATCAATAATATATTACACATATATTAATGGTAAATCAATAAATAGTAAATAATATAATGATATAAGAAGTTATATTAGTAGATATCATAGTTATATTAATGATATATCAGTTGTATATCAGTAGTAAATTAGATGTATATCAAGTATGTATGTATGTATGTATGTATGTATGTATATATATATATATATATATATATATATATATATATATATATATCAGTGCCATATCAATAGTATATCAATGCTATATATATATATATATATCAGTGCCATATCAATAGTATATCAATGCTACGAGGGTAAATTTGACATTTTATTATTGGACCTCCATTTTTTCTAAAAAATTTGCTATATTTGCAAATTTAAAATGTAGATACTAAATTTGTTACTTCTTTAAATTTTTTTTATCATATTTGTAACTGCCACGGTACTATAATATACATTGAAGACATTTTATATATTATATAGCCTTATTTTTATTTTAAAACTTTTTAATGGCTTGGACTTCGCATTTTCATAAACACTTATTCTACTTTTTAATGTTTTGGCCTTCACATTTTCATAAACGCTTATTCTTATAAATGTGATTGAATTATGGTGAGGTTTTATTTAACAAAAAAATTATTTATATATTTTATATTTTGATATAAAACTAAATTTATGTGATCTAATTGAACACAAGTTCACGTAATGTTACATAACATGTGAATTGCATATAAATTATGAGATCCATTGTTATTAAATTAAAATTTTAGTCATTAATAAGAAATAATATATAAACCAAGGCAATATTTTGTAAAGTAGAATACATTTCAATGATTAATATTGCTTTTAAGTGTGGTAATTCAATATATCTTGAAAGTGAGTGTCTACATAATAGAGAAAATGAATATTTAGAGGAGAAAAAAAACTTAGCAACTTTTTCCAATCTAAGCCAAATCCACACGCATGTGAGACCTATAATGGTTGGCTAAGGCAAAACATATGTCACGTCAATCTCTGCACTAAAGTCGATAACTACCTACTTTAAACATGAAGCATGCCAACTATCTAATTTGAGGTGTCGTCTTTTTTTTTTCCTTTTTAGTACAGCAAATGTGAGAATAGAGATGTGAACATTTGACTTCAAAAAATAATTGAAGTAAGGATTGACTTGAATTCATGATTATAAAACTTTTTAAACGTCTAAGTCACATGATGATGAGTTAGATTCGACCAAACAAGAATATCTCATTCGAGAACGATCCATCGATTGAGTTACATGAAGGTTAAACGATTTGTTACATTGAAAGTGATTAGTAAGAAAAATAATGAGAGTATATGGTCGAAACTCGAGTATTCAATTTCACTTGCAAAAAAGTTGGGGGAAAAACTTTAATTTTTTTGGTTGGTTTTGGATTTTAAAGCAAAGGTTGCGTGCTGGTCAAAGTGGAGACAGCGTGGCTCCAAGCCTGTTGGTCAACCAAACGGCAATTGCGGGAAAAATATGGGAAAAAAAGCAAAGATGGGACAGTCTCTTCCACAAACACACTTTTTTATTGGTCTTACAAGTTACAAACCAATCTCTTGGACCACGTTTGGTTGCTCCAATTCTTTACGTATAGTGTAAGCATTTATTTCTATTATTGGCGATGTTGAACTCACCTATTTGATTGAAAGAAAAAAAGAAAAAGTTGAAAATTGATTGAAGCTAACAAAATGGATGAAAATTAAATTCAATCCACAACTTACTAATTTTACTTTTATAGTTTGTAGTATCGACTTGATATTAATCTAATTTTTTGATTTCTACTTATATTCATATCTATAAATACTAGTTAAATTATATTTTTTTGTCATTGCAATATGATCGAATGACACAATTCCTATTGATTAATGAGATTCGCTGGAACATGCAAGAATAGAGAATACACCTGGGTGTGGTGCATTTAAGCATGGTGAGAATTAGGATATAATAGACTTGGTTTATGGAGCACGAAAATTGAAACTATATTCATATCACAAATATCAAATTAATTTTGTTTAAGAAAATTATATAAACCAAATTCAAACTACAAAGATCAAATTTTGGGTAAATTTTAACATATAGATCTACCATAGAAGTACCAAGTTATTTATAAATATTCAAAAAAGCAAAACTTTATATTTATCAAAAAAAAAAGAAAAGAAAAGAAGAAGAAAGAAAGAAAACAAACAAACTCTATAGTTTAGCATTTCATTTTAATAACTTAAAAGGTGTCAGAGTCATAGTATTAAACATCATTCGACATGTCGGTATGTTCATCGACATTTTCATATATCTATGAATTCGATGGATAAGTCGACACTTCCATCATATTACAAAAAGATCGACAAAATATAAAAACATCAACAAAATGTCACTGATATATACCTAATATTAAGAAAAAAAACTTCCCTCTCTAACGGTGAGAAGTATTGTGCTTCTTATCTTCATGTGACCCGGTAAAAAGAAGATAATTATTGGTTTTTTTAATTATTATTTTAAAACTTATAATTTCTTCAAAATCTCCTCAAATCTCTTTTAATTCTTTTTTTAGATTTGGTTGGGAAGATCGTCCAAACAATCTAAAAGAAGAATTCAAAGAGATTTTGAGATATTTTAATATAAAGGAGCACAATGCTCTTGGTTAAGGAGGGAAGTTTTTTCCTAATATTAATAACTTTAAATTTATTTATAAATAAAATAATATTTATTTATTAATTTAAATATTTTTTGCGATTTTTTAATTTCTCTAAATTTTATAGAAATATACCTCGACGTTGATGTTTTATCAATATTTTCATCAATATTTTTATGAAATTGAAACTTCGATATTTTCACATCGACATTTAAAACTTTGGTTAGAGTTGCGAGACTGTAATATATAAATATCCATTAAATTTCAATAAGCCATTTTTTAGTGCACTTCAATACAGAATAATTTCCTTGCCCATGAAAAACAAAGAACATTCGATAAGTTATAATCAAAAGAGAAGGCATAATAATTAAATTCAAATTATAGGGTAGAATTATAATTTAACTACAAATAAATAAATATTATAATAATGAAAGCGTTTCTTTTTTCTCGCTTGATTACGAAACATTTGGAATCTTTTGAAAATAACAACGGCAGGGTGACCTTTGCGCACCACTACAATCCCCCGTACAACGTTTTTCTTCTCTCCTTTTTCTTTTTTCCCTTTTTCTCCCTCCCTTCTTTTACTTTTCCCCGAGGGATCCCCAAACTCAACGATGGGCCGAAAAGTACGCGAGTAGGCCCACCAAAGGCGCGTTGATATAGGTCGTGGGCTCGGACTCTTGAAAAAACGGCCTCGAATCCGGAAACGCATCCGACACGTTGGGCCCACCTACCACCGCTCCGACCAACAGGTTCGGGTTCGGGTTCGGGCTCAGGAAATACCTGGAACCCGCCTTGCACCCGATCCGGGCCGGGTGGGCCTGAACCGACGGAAGCGAACTGGCCCGATGATGGATCCTCAGCGGGTAGCGTGCACCGTATCCAACCATGTACGACATCCGCAGCGGATTATCGCCCAGAATGTAATCCACCTGGTGGGACCCACACCAAAAAAGAAATTCCAAAAAATAATCAAGAAATCAGAAATTGGAAAAGGTAACTTTTATGTTCCCAATTGGTCAAAAGTACTGCGAGGAAAAACTGTGGGGCCTACGAAATCATAGCCGTTAAATTTGTAAGCATCTAACGTATAGAAACACAGACAAACGAAACAGCTAAACCTCAGACGAGACAAACTCTAGCCGTTGATTTCTTTTTTTCTATTATCGGACCTAGATTTTGGTCCCCACAAGTTTTATGGCCAGAGAATTTGGACATGATAATAATTAATTGCGAAAAGTTATTACTTAATAAATAAATTTATGGGTTAGAAAATTAATTATCTAACCCCATACCGAGATGTCTCGTCTGTGTGATTGAGATGGGTGTATCTATATATATTTCAAAATACAAAAATTCGGTAGTTTAAAAAGTAATAAAAGAATGATAGTTCTGGAGGGTTAATAATGTTTAATAAACATGATTATGTAACTTGTAAAACATACTTATAATAATACATGATCAATGACTCGGTAAAAACTACTACGATTATGGATTTTAACAAAATTACTCTAATATTTTCAATTTCAATATAATGACAGAGAGTGATCGTTGGTCTGGTACTAGCAAAGTACTATTGTATTACTGTAGTACTAGAAATTAGAAGAACCTGGTGTTTGGCGAGTTGTCGAAGCATGGTGGGGGATGCTGAGAAAGCTCCACATGGCACATTCCTATTGGCGTGGCTAAGGTAATTGGAATAAGCCAGGAGTAGGAAAGACAGGGAGGTAACATGCTGCATGTTACTTCCTCCGGCCTTGAATATCAAGCCACCTTTTCAATCCAATCCAAAAACCAAAATTAATAAATAAACAAATAAATAAATAAAAACCAGCAAAAGAGAAAGAAGGTTTCAATGTACCAGGAGAATATTGAACTTGAGGATGAGAAATTCCAGGAAGAACAGAGCAAATGAACTCATCGGCATTTTGCCTAAAAGACGAGAAATATTCCGCTCTACCCATCAACACTTCCTGTCATTTTTCGAAATTTCAGATCTCATTTGATAATCATTTATTTTTAATAGGTAAAAAAGAAGAACAAAAATTATTTATAGGTCGCAATCAAACAGAAGAAAAGTGAGTTTGGGTAAGGGAAGAGAAATAATGGAAGGGAACCACATGTGAAGGAACTATAACTTCACAGACTTTAGGCACATGAATCCACCAGTAACCCACTGATCTGGGGGCCCCACATGAGGCAGCGAAAAGACACTCTTGCCCATCCCTACAGACTGAAGATTCAGACACTTGGAAGCAGTGGCATTGATGACCTTTCACACCCAACTTTCTGACTTTTGAAGAGGGTATCCCCAATGGGGATGGGGCAGAGGATAAAATGGTTCCCCACATTTCAAAGCCTTAAATTCCATGCCCTTATCATTATCATCAGCAGATGCAATTATTAAAATATAAAGAAAAAAGAATAAAAAACTTTATCCAATAATAAAAGTCCCAAATTATTTGTTTTTCTTTTCCATGTATGTGAAATTATTCCTTATTTGATTGCATCCAAAGTGCTATTCATTGCCAACTAACATTCCTTTTCCTCCAAACAGACAACTACATCCCTTCTTCCAATCACATGCATCCCTCCTCATTCTCCCTATTCTAACATATCAATCATCTTTCAATATATATATATATGAGCAAAAGTTAATTGAGCCCATCCCTGTCACTTCTAATCTTAGTAACGAAGGAATGTAGAATCAAATGAGAGAGTCTTTAACCACCCATCCTACCAAACTAAGGATCTCCTCCAAAGTTTATGGATGTCATATCAAAATATCATGACATGTCAAATTTGTATAGATAAAAAATTATCTAAATTGTTATTGAATAAAGGTCAAATAAATTATTTGGACCCGATAAGTAAAGAAAACTTCTCCTATCTAACCCCTAAAATCAGCTTGCTAATAATATGAAATCATTCTTAATTTTCAAGGGGGAAAAAACCTTACACAAAAAAAGTTAAAAATTTTAAGTGTAAATTTAAAAGGGGTATGGATATGGATTTATATTTTCCCAAAAAGATGGTAACGAGCAAACCCCGGAAAGCCACGTGGCGGTCGAGATCAGCCACGTGATCAGCATAAAAAACCAAACCGAAAAGAGGGAACGACAGAGCGGAGTGAGAGTGGAGACGACACAGAGAAAGAACAAAACGACAGGATCGCATAGATTACGTGCGAAGATAAAAAAGTGAAAAGTAATAGGATGATTATTAGCAGGTGCAGGGGGGGAATTAGTTGGAATGATGAGGGTTAAAAGAGTAAAATCGACCTTGGAAATGAGGACGTTAATTCCCGCGTGCTTGTTATCCCAACCAAACTCGTTGATGGTATCCCCAGCTCTGAGCACCACCTCGTTCTTGAAAATGTATTCTCTGTACTCGCGCCTTCTCGACGCCTTGTGCAACCACGCCGCTCCCCAAAGCAACTCGTCCTGTAATTGGTCAAACGCCATTTCCACATTAAATCACCACCATTCGTTTCAATCAAACGGTCGCCATTGGGCGGTCATACTTTACCTGGTAACCGTTGTTGTCACAGTAAAATGGACACACCGCCCTCCGCAAACTCCCGCTGTACGCTCCTCTGTGCCTGTCAGCAAACTCGAATACCTACAACAAAATGGGAAAAAAAAGTTTAATTTTTTTTTACTGCGTACGGTAACTTGTATAAAAAACTAAATAAACATTTCTTAAGACTAAAAGATCAACGGTTAATTAACTACTATATCTATATTTTTAATGTAGAGGGGTAGAAAGGTAAAAGAGAGAGAGAGATGGGGGGAGGGATTGGGTGTGAAAGCGATGTACCGAAACGGCTCGATTGAGGAGCAATCGGGAGTAAGAGGGGTCACGTGATCTGAAGACAATGGAAGCAGCGGCCAAAGCAGCGGCGGTTTCTCCTGCCACGTCAGAGCCAGGGTGGGCCCCATCGATTTTATAAACCGTACGAAGCGTATCCATGTCCTCGGGCCTCTCCCAGCAGTTGTGATCGGAGTAAGGGTCTCCGACCTGAACGAAAACCACTCCCGGCACCGCCGTCGCCTTCAGAAGGTAGTCCGTCGCCCACCGCACCGCCTTCACCGCATTCCCCAACTCCGATCCCATCACCCGCCCGAAGTCGATGATGCTCCACGACAGAAGCGTCGTCGTGAACGCCATGGGAAACCCGAACTTGATGTTGTCGCCGGCGTCGTAGTACCCGCCGCTCAAATCCCTCTGCAACAAAACACAAAAACCGTTAACCCCTCCAAAAACAGAAACGTAAGAACATCAGAGCGCGCGAATGCGTACTCCGACGGTGGCGCCGTCGTGCAAGGCGGAGTCGCGGCGCCATTTGAGGCGTTGGTCGGGGGGGAGCTTGCCGGAGCGCTGGCCTTCGAAGAAGAGGATGCATTTGCGGAGGGCGTCGTGGTAGTCGTGCTGGGCGGTGGCCGGAGGTGAGAGGAGGAGGAAGAGGAGGGAAATGACGGCGGCCGGAGAGTAGCGGAGAGACGTTGGCGCCATTTCGGAGTGAAGTTTGGAAATGATGAGGAGAGGGAGGGGGAAGCACATGCAGAGAACACAAGGTTCGTGCTTCGATTTATACAGGAAAAAGAAAACAGAAAAAAAAGGCGTCATTGGATTCCAGAGGTTTCGCCAAAGAGGGGACGCCACGTGGAGAGTCGTGGTAGGATGATGATTTCGGGTCCCAATGCGAGACATTCTTGACCGGGTTTGACCTCCCAATCGGGTCGGACTCGAACAACCCACTTTTTCTGTATCTCTGCTCTGTTGCCTTCTTGGGTAGGGTAATGATTTTTCATCCCCTCTTTTCTTTTATTTTTTAACAATAAAATTTAGGTGTTTATTATCCGCAAGTGTCTATATTCCTATTTATTTTATTACCGTTAAAATTGATAATTATTTATTTTATTTTTCCCATCTTTCTTTGTGCACTCATATCTTTTACATGATACTTTTTTCCGATAATAGTAGCCTTCGATAAATACTTAAGTTTTTCTCATGTTTTTTTTTATTCAAAATGCAAAAACCAAAACGTTAAACATTGATATTTGGTTGATAAACACTGATAACTGCTAAAAATTTAAATTGGGAGCCCTTCATTTTTTCAAGGAAGTATAAACAATATCTCTTTTTTTTTCTTCTATCTTACCTGTCAAAATTTGAATGATAAGTGTTCATCAATCACCATTTAAATATTATTATATAGTAATTGACTATTTATTTTTTTCTTAAACAGAGTTGGCTATTGGATTAAATAGCAAGATTCATTCTCAAACTTGTATGTTTAAGTTGAATAAGATTTTGAAATTTTAATAGTGTGTCTAAAAAATCTTTTAGTTTTATTTTAATTATTTGAGATTTTATTTTTATGTTTAATAGATTCCTAATTTTTCTGATAGTAATTCACTCTGGTTAGTTAAAAAGAAAAAAAAAACCAACAAAGATTGTTGGAATTATTATGGAAATATAGGAAAAGCTTCATACTATTTATATTTAATAAAATAATATTGGTTAAATTATAAGTTTTATCTCTAAATTTTTAGACTTGTGCGTAATAGCTTCTTGCACTTTAATCAACGTCTAAAATTTTCTTAAATTTTAAATTTTGTGTAATAGGCCACTAGACAAGTGTCTAATAGATCCCTAAATTTTTTATTTAAGCTATACGATCTATTCGATAATTTTAAAAGTTCATGACATATATAAAATTAAATTTTGTGTCAATAGGACATTTACTTGTATTATATAGATTCGTATATAATTAAAAAAAATACTAGATCAATGATTTACTAAACATCAAATTGAAACTAATAATAATATAATAATGTATTATATGTTTGAGTGGGAAGGAAATTAGCAGATACTTCACAACAATATATATATTTTTTTTCAGAAAACTACTTTTTTTTTTTTCCTTTTATGCCAGGCCTCTAAACTATGAGAATTTTTTTGTAATTTTACATTCAAATTTACGATTTACATTTGGTTGTAATTAAACTCAACCACCATTCCCTTGTTGTTAGGGTTTAATTACAATGCGTGGTAGCTTTTGAAGGTAATTGTTTAAATTAAAAATTAAAAAATATAATGTTTTTCTAATGAATTAAAAAATAGAATTGAACTTGTATAATTGTAAAGAAAAACAAAATTTTGCAACTTAATTATTTTTTTAACAATTTATTTTTTCAAAAAAAGAGGATAAGCGTGATGAGGCCGTGAGGTGGGAGAACGTGAATTGCTACATGGTGGTGTAGGCACGGGTGTAGAGAAAAGATAAGGTTACGGGAAGGTGATGCACCGACGTATTGATGGATGACACGTGGAGGAGAGTGCCGTAAATGACTGCTCGAAAAGACGACATTTCCTTTGCGGAAAAAAAAAGAACAGAGAAAAGAGGACCTTTTTCTTCACTACAACGCTTTAATAAAAAATTGGAATGGACATTAATCAAAATAAAAATATTATTTATTTAAGGTTGTTTATTTGAAATTTGTAAAATTAAATAAAAAGTCTATTAATATCATTTATTAAAATTATTTGAAATAAAAACAGGAATCAAGTATATAATTATTAATATAATTCTTTTTTATTTTTAGCTAATTATAAGTACATTAACTAAAGAATATGATAATAATTTTTTTAATTAAAAGAATAATAAAATTTTATTTTAGTAGTATTATTATTTTATTGATAATTTTATTTTTATTTTAACGACTCATTTAATATCAACAAATAATGAATAATAAAAGTAAAAATACATCAATTAAAAAATATTAATATAATTTTTATGAGAAACAACCATTATTAATATAAAAAATCATTAACTTTTATTGTTATAAGATTTAATAATAATGAATTTATTAATATCAAAGTAAAAATAAATAATTGATAAACTAAATAGAACATCTTTTTCAAAGGGATTAATTAAATAGAACTTTATAATATTTTATAATAAAATCACATAAGATTTAATAAAGAAAAGTAAAATAGTAAAACAGTTAATTAAAAAAAAAAAAGAAGCTATTGAGAGACAAGGTTATAAAATAATTATTAACAAAATATGACAGAGATGTCATTATTTAAGGCCGGACAAAAGCGAAAATTTTTGTCAATTCTTAATAATAAGTGCTATGTAACCATATTGTTACATGAGACGTATATCATTTTGGAGGTTGGGAAAAATAAAATAAGATATGGTATCTGTACTCATGAATTTTGTAATGATTTTGTCATGGTAACGTTTTTTTAATAATAATTTTGTTAAATGTATTTTTAAGGAAGGTAGTGATTAAACTTTTGTATTTTGGTCCTTTCCAAAAAAGAAAAAAAAAACTTTTATATTTCGGTTTAATAGTTATGATAATATTGAATTGGTGTTTTTTTGTTATACATAAATATGTGAAGTGAAGATCGTTCATGAAGTTTTGATTGGAGATATAAATTTAAGTTGATTTTTTTTCTTTTTATAAGATGAATTGATTCTAATGCATTTTAAAAAAAAAAGTAAAAAGAAAAACTTATTTTTATGAATGAAGGGCTTCAACATGGTATAAAACAAAAAGAAATCCGTGACAAAATTGGAATTTTTTTTGGCCGGTTTTATGGAGCGAAAAGACATGTACAAATGAAACAAATTGATAAAAAAATCTCTAGTGGAACTGATTATAAGAACCCTTAATAGAATTAGAACCTTTATAAAATAGAGCGCTAAAACCTAGAATTCAAATTGTATTAGCTAGAACGAACTACCTTGATGATCAATATCAAAAGTAGAGAAAACTTGTTCATAAACTTAAAATTCGAACCACTCCACAAGATAGCTAGATTAAAGTTACTTGAATGATCCTAGCATGCAAATCTAACACTCGAGAATTGCAAAGAAAAACAAGTTCTAGGTTTTTGAAGCAAAATTGCAACTTTCATTCAATCAAATGTTTTAAAGTTTTATGATGACCATAACTAGCTAAATTGTAACTTAAAAAACCGAGATTTGAATCCAAGATTTGAAGTCTTAGTTAGCTTTAAAAGTCTTTGTAACCTCCCCACAGTAAATGAAGCTTCACTTGATGTAGTTTGAAGTAGCTTGAAGTGTAGTTTCATTATTTGGTGGTTGACTTGTACTAAATAAAGCTTGAGATGCACTTTAAGTTCATTTAATGAAACTTGAGTTTCTTGAAATCCCTTAAGCTCTACGTGGAAGATATTGAGTTGAAAACCTCTACCTCTCTCTTGATCATCCCTAGCCGAGTTCACTAACGGTTGAACATGAGAAAGTAAAGCTTGTGGAAACTTCTTGGCTCTTGATCTTATTATGGATCCTTGAGGCATGACAATGAATGTTCCTTGGTTCACTTCACAAACACTCTGATGTTTAAGTCAATAAGAGTCCGATCTGAAGTCTCAAGTCGAAGTTCAAATCGTGAACATGAGATTAGAATGATGCTTATTTATAGGAAGTCAAATGATAGCAACATCTCGACCATTTAATTGTACTTTTGAAAAATTAGTTACACAAGGACGGAGTATCAGGTCCTTAAAGTCAGAATATGGTATTACCTTTGACCAAGTGAAGTTTGACCGAGCTTGCAAGCCACCTTTTGGTTGAGCTTCAAAGTTGGTCAGGTCGGTCGCTTCGAGGTTCTGAAGAAAGATCTTAACATACCAATCTTTTCTAGCTCTCTACATGACAAGTCTATTTTTACCCTCTAACAACCACACAGTCAAAATATAAGTATTTAGGAAGCATTTTTTTTAACTTATATTTTATGAAAAAAGATATTTGTACTTTTATAGTAAGTAGATAAGACACTACCATTCTAGAAATCGATGTTTGATCTCTCATACTCGCTATACACTTAATTCATTAAGCTTATTTTAGTCCTAAATTTTTAATTTCATTAAATCAAATTTTAAACTTGAATAAGTGATGAACTGCTAATATCTTCTCAAAATTAAATAAAAAAATTAGTCATAAATCAACCAATAAATTATACAAAACACTTCAATCAAACCATAGAAATGTCCAAGACTGGTCACAGAATGAAGGAGGTGAAAAGAGTAAAACAGTAAAATATTCAAATATGGCGAAAAAAAAAACAGGAAAATCAATACTCGTGAAAATAATTTCATCCAACCTCAATAATAATCACAACTATCTACAAATTTTGTTTTTATAAAAATGGAACCTTAACATTTAGAACATTAATTTCACTTCTCATTGGGGTCTTAATTTGATAAAATTGAAATTTTAAGATATTGACTGGGAGAATCAAATACAAAATTTAGCAACCCACCTAAATTATCCTTTATTTTTTAATAGAGTTAATGTCTTCCAACAACTGTTTTAAAAACTTATTTTTACAAATGTTTCCAATTTTACATTTTAGATTTTTGCTGGTAGGATTTTTTTATAATACCAATTTTTCCCTTAATTCACTCCTTCGTATATTAATGAGATTAGTACATGAAATGTCTATATTAATTACAAAAAGATTATCATGATTTCAATTTCTAAATTAATTAACGTGTGGATTTACC